CATCTGGGCAGGCCCCGCCTCCCCTCCCCTCGCTCATGGGGGACCTGCAGCCTTCATTCAAGTCACGGCAGAACTGTCACAAAACTGTTGTTTTACCCCTTTTTGTGTGTGTCTGAGAAACAAATTCTGTTCTTTGGAAACTTTCTGTGCCCAATAGGGCAGATATTTTTATATGTATGTATATATATATGTTCACGTGTGTACATATGGTCTGAGTATAAAGGATGTATTTATGGTCTCATGCTGCTGAACCTCTGTCACTTTACGGTCCCTCCCTGTCTCCTCACCCTGCTGCCATGGGAGGCCACCGAGGCTCGTTCACCATTGTATGTCCAGGTAAAATGCCCCTTCCCTTACCCCCCTGTGGCTTGCAGAGCCATTGCTAGCCACACCTTCAGAGAATGGTAATAAAATAAAAACCGTGCAAAGATCCTGTAGCATTTCTGGTGTATATGTTATGTGGGAAGAATCATGGAATATAATCTGCCCAACTGTTCAAAAAAGTCACCCTTTTATGATCTCACAGAGACACTTTAAAATGTCACCATTTGCCAGGTATGAACATGCCTTTAATCACAGTACTGCAGAGGCAGAGACCAAGTCAGGTGGGTCTCTGTGAGTTTGGGGTCAGCCCGGTCTACTTAGAGAGTTCCAGGCTAGTTAGAGCTACATACGCAGTAAAACCCTATCTCATAACACAAACATGGAACCAGAGACAGCTCAGCTCATTCGTTTCCCAGCTGCCCAGACCCGAATAATCTCACAGAAACTATATTAATTACAGCACTGTTCAGGCAAAGACTCGGACATATTCCTAGATAGCTCCTACATCTTAAATTAACCCATTTCTATTAATCTGTGTATCGCCATGAGGCTATTGCTTACCAGGTAAGGCTCTTTTCTGGTGTCTGGTGTCTTTCTCTCTCTCTCTCTCTCTCTTTCTCTCTCTCTCTCTCTCTCTCTGTGTGTGTGTGTGTGTGTGTGTGTGTGTGTGTGTGTGTCTTCAGATTTCCCACCTGGCTTTATTTTGCCCTGCCATAGGCCAAAGCAGCTTCTTTATTAACCAATGGTAATAAAACATATGCATAGCATACAGAGGGGGAATCCCACATCACAAACAAATGTCATGCTTCATTCATGGTTGCTTTTATTTTCTACTGCTGATATAAATGAGCACTTAAAGTCAGAAGTCTTTATTGTATGGATGAAGTTTAGAGAAAGGCCAGTAACTCCGCTGTCCACCACCTTGGTAAAGGCACTGGGCTCCCAGCACACTGGCACTCAGCGATGGTCACAAATGACCAGTGTGGCAAATCTAAGAATGAGGCAGGAAGTGGCAGGACACAGAGGATGCACAGGCACCCAGCATGTCATAATGTGGGTTTTATTTTTATCAGACGGTGATGATGTCAAAATAGAACCAGGATGTACTTGTGGAAAAATGTGAAGGGGACCAGAGACTTGCAGTAGAGACATCACAGAGTAATAATAACACCCTCGGCAACTCCTCACTGACAAGCTAGATAATGAGGGAAGTGTGTTGATCTGTGAGCAAGGAAGGGTCAGTAAATGGGGAAATGGTGTGCAGAAAACACAAAAACCTAATGACGAGATGGACCCAGACGTGTCTGGCTCACAGCGTGACTAGTGTCCTAACTGGTGTGTCAGCACCAAGTAGGCAGATCACTGCTAAGGGAGACTCTGAACAAAAAGTAAGCAATGACGGAAAATGAGAGAAAGCAAAATAAATAAATGAAACCTCAAGAGAACTCTGACATCGTAAGGCTAGTAACAAAAATGAAATTTAGGGCGGTTGGAGTATAAGAAACAAGGAGGTGATCACAAACTTGTAAGCCAGGATTAATGATCAGAATGCGGAGAGCAGCCTTGACATTGATATTACCTTCCTAGACACTGACACCATCTGTCAAACAGAAAATGAGACACACGAGGGCTGCCCCTGAAATATGCCTGGGATTGAACTGCACATCATCGAACGTGACAAAATTGCTAAGTCACTCACGAGTAAGATGATGAATAGAATCAGTGAAACAAAGTCTACAGAAGAAATTACTACCTTGAGGGAAGAAAATAAATAAAAATCAAAACCTTGATTATTGAAAAATGTAATTTATAGAAAAACTAAGAGACTATTTCAGAGACAGCATGACAACATGTCTGTTTACAAAACAACAGTGGTAGCGTGCACACACACACACACACACACACACACACACACACACATCCCATAGGGCCAGTAGCCTCCCAAGCCAGGGGGATTTTTGTTCTGTTTGTTTTATTTTTTGGCCAGGTTTTACAGGATCAGACATGCATTCCCTCCTGTGGAGTCAGCCTCAGATCCGAATCAGAGAAGAGTTGGTTTCCCCCGAAACAGTCAGCCGCAGTCTCACCGTAGGCTCACCTTCCTGCAGGCCCCTGTCCTAGCACGCAGGGTTCACTGTTAGCTGAAACGGTTGGTGACTGTTTCTCCTGGTGGTGCCTTCAGAGCTATGAAAATGCCATCGGGGGTACGTTTCCGAGTCAGCTGCAGTTTGAGTTTTCTCTGTGCTGCAGGCGAAGTGTGGTGTATCTTAAGCGATCATCTAGTTACGGTGGAGCAATGGCCTGCGTTGGAAAAAAACCACATATTCTGATCAAGTAAATTTGTTTATGTCATTTAATTATGGGGCAATATTAGAAAAATAATGCTGTGATTTACCATGTTAAATTCAATCATGTAAGTCAGCAGCTTCATAGATGCACAGAATTCTATCGATCATTTATCTTGGTTATCACGCCATTGAGTTAAAAAACAGTTTTTTACCTGGCAAAGCATGCCTAACAATCTTCAAAGCAAAAACTTTAAGTTTCTAGATTTCTTAATAATCCTCATCCAAGCCGGGCGGTGGTGGCGCATGCCTTTAATTCCAGCACTTGGGAGGCAGAGGCAGGCAGATCTCTGTGAGTTTGCGGTCAGCCTGGTCGGTCTACAGAGCTAGTTCTAGGACAGGCTCCAAAGCTACAGGGAAACCCTGTCTCAAAAAAATGCCAAAAAAGGAAGGAAGGAAGGAAGGAAGGAAGGAAGGAAGGAAGAATTTTTATCCAAAGTAGAAGAGAGGGGTGAGCTAGCCTTTGCTGCATAGAGGACAAACATGGGGTGCTTCATGATTAGGATCATTTACTAGAAACACTGGAATAGCACAAAGGAAAGGGACATGCATGAGTCATGTGGATTGAAAGTAACTGTGCATAACTGGGAAATCCAGGAGCATCTTAGCATCACCTATTATTAGCAAGACTAACCCACAAAGAAAGACACAGATCCAGAGAAAATAAAAGTCATACAATTATAGTCTCAGAATTCATATCAGCTCTCTAGTTCTTAAACTTCAAGGTACTAACATCATCACCACTGGTCCCCAACCTTCCCAGGGCATCAAAAGCTCTGTTCTTAGGAGCACTCCTAAGATTCTGTCTCTTCATGGAGTGAGAGAGCCTGTATCTATGTAGGTGTCATGGATGTGTGGGTGTGCGAGCATAGCATGCATAAGGATGCTACGTAAGTATGAAGATGGTGTGCGTGTGACCATGGCTTATGTGTGTCCCCAGGTAGTTCTGAGCCCACGGTCACTCACCTTGTTCTCTTGTCTGTCAGCTGTACGAGGGAGAGGTTGGTGTGTGGCAGTATGCTGGGGATCCCAGTCCCGTCCTGCAGGCTGTAGGGACAGCCCTTGGGAAAGGAAAGATGAGCATGGCTGAGAATGAGACTTGGTGTTTCCTATCCCAAGGTGGGGGAAGATGGTGCCTGAGCACACACAAGGGATTCACAGAGCAGGACTTGGGGATCCCAAGGGGAACTTGGTCTTCCCTGAGAAAGTAAGTGGGGACAGGTCCAAAAGAGAGTCAGACAGTGGCCTCCGTGCCTCCCTCTCTGAGCCATGTGTCAGGGCTAGGCACAGTGCTATTGGTAGCCATGGGGCAGGTATGACGGGAAAACCAAATAGGCAAGGCCCCTGTAGGTCCAGGGGGAACCCCTGATACCTGAGACTCAGGGCCAGCCCAGGTACGTGCCACAGGGAGGTCCCCATCTGCTGAAGAAACTTCAGCCAGGGCCCAAACACCAGGTAGACTTGGCTTCTGTCCTCTGGTGCAGCTATCACAGAGAGCTCAATACTCGTGGCCTAGAGATCAAAGGGAAGAGAACTGGAGACCGGGTCTTCACTCTCAGGTGAGAGCTGGGATAAATTATTGTGGCCTCCTCTCTTGTCCCTGTAATGAGGGTTGGGTTTTGCTGGGTGAGCTTTGACCTCTAGCCCAGAAGAAGCATTGCCTAGTCTGAAGGGACCCCAGGAGTCAGAGGTGCCCCTGAGGTAGACTGTGGTGGCACCAGGTAGGGACAGATGGGTACTGTCAGTGTCCCATAGATGAGGTCATCCTAATACCTGTCCCTGAAAAGTGCCCCCCTCCCAAGAGGTTCCAACGCAAACCCACAGTCCGGTCCAGGAGGCTGCATACCCATAGACGCTGTGTCCTTAGGGTGGACCCAGTTTTTACACAGCGAGTCTTATATCCCGAGAAACCGGTCACAGGCAACCCAGTGTCGGAAAGCCCCACCTGGGGCCTGGGCCAGAGGACACAGAGGAACCAGTCATTGGTCCTCTGCTGAGGGCTGCTTTCAGTGTGCGGAGGAGCAGGGCAGAACAGCTCCTGAGAGCTAGCAAGCCCAGCCTAGGTCTCCCCTGCAGATCTATTACAGGCCTTAGGGCCATACCCAGCATTCTGTCCTTTTTAGTGTCCTCGCTGTGGGTGTAAACATCCTGTGGGTGAGATCTGTTCCCACCTCCAGTGTGAGCCCACTTTCCTGCCATGCCTTTCCTCTTTCCCTGGATGTACAACTACTGGAAACGTGTGCGCCAGCCTCCAGCCTCTGTTCCAGTTCTCTCCACCCCTCTCCCCTCCCCCTGCCCTTTGCCCTCCCAGCAGCATTTGGACAAGCCCCAGCAAGAAGCAACAGTCGCACCATGGTTCCTCAGGCTCGCCGCTGGCTGGTGTTTTTCTGCTTTCTGCTCCAGCTTCAGGGACCCCTAGGAACTGTAGGTACGGAAGTCCCATCTGTCCAGGGAGGGTTTCTCTGTGGACTGGGTGAGTTGAGAAGTCAAGCTGTTCGCAACAGCAGCTGGGACATCAACAGGAACCCGCTCCCAGGTGGCTCCATCAGGTGTGTGTCCCTGCCAAAAGATAATAGTGTCTGGGTGTTTGCCACCGGGAGAGAGGCTGTTCTTCACGGGGGCAGGAGCTTTGGCTATTGTTTTCCAAAGAGTTTTTAGAAGTAGGGAACTTTGCTGCCACTGTCCTCCTGTGGACACCTGCCTGTGAAGTTAGCTCTGGAGACCACTCAGTGCAGAGTTCTGGGGCAAGGGTTCTCACATGTCAGGACAGCCACAGGACACTGAGCTACAGGGCTTGCTCATGTCTTGGCCCTATGGTCACAGCCATAGCCCCTCATACACACATACTTACACACACACACACACACACACACACACTCACACACACACACCCACACATACACACACTCATACTCATACACACACACTCACATACACACACACTCACACACCCCCCCACACATACACACACTCATACACATACACACACACTCACACACACACCCCCACACACACTCATACACATACACACACACTCACACACACACCCCCACACACACTCATACACATACACACACATACTCACACATGTACACACACACACTCATACACCCACACTCACATACACACACACTCACACCACACACACACACATACACACACACTCATACACATACACACACATACTCACACATGTACACACACACACTCATACACACACACACACACACACACACACAGCTCTGAGGCCTCCGTCTCTCTGCCTGGTGAAGGTCCTTGACAGGTCCTGTTTGACAGCGGCTCCATCTGCTCTTCTTCCACAGCGGGGGCTGATTCTCTAGGAACACCAGTCACGAAAGACTCTCCAGCTTGAAAAGGCTACAGTGGTCCTTACCCCCTCCTCTTCCCTCTTGCTGTTCCTTCCCGAAATGATGCAACTGTCTTCTAGTCTTATCTTTCCAGAGGCCACTCCTTTTGGTAATGCCAGCATCCTCCTGTTGACCACAGCCACCTTTTCAGCCCCACCCAAAGCCAGTTCCTTCCAGCAAGGCCCATATGGGTGCCTCTTCAGCGTGGGGAAAGCCTGCCTCACTCTCTCCTTTAGCCCTGTTCTTGAGTACACTGGCTGCTTTTGACTCTTCCCTAACTGCTTCTCGTTCTCTTCTCCTCTCTTCCCATCCCAGTTCCATGCCTTCCCCTGGCTACCCCCTCTCACACAGTCTATGTAGCATAGTTGTCTTACAGGGCTTTGGTTTGCACCCCTGACTAATTTGGGTAAGTTAGAACCCTCATCCCCATCACCACACTCGTATCTAGGGTTCAGACCCCATGTTCATTGGAGTGTCCCAGAGAAACTCAAAATCAGCATGTCCAAACTTCTGCAACTGCCTTCACCAAAGCTTTGTTTTTCCGAAGCCAAGCAGGAAACACTGGTCACTTAGTTCCCATCAGGGCGGGAATGGCTGGATCTGGTCCGGGGGCCCAGTGGAGCATCTCCAATGTAGCAAATCGCAGGAGTAGGAACCCCAGCAGGTGCGACCGTGGTGCCCAGTGCTGATGAGGTGTTTTCGTAAGATCTGCAGCCCCAGGGCCATGTGGCCTGAGATTTCTGAATTTACTCGAGGGCACACACAGCACAGGGCACACACATTTGGGACTAGATGAAAATTTGACATATATGTTAGTGCATACATTTTCCAGTGTACCCAAGAAAGGGATTTCACAATGTGTGACTTGCTGTCTCCTTTTTGTTTGATGTCACAAATTAAACTTGTGTTTGCTGACATCATAGGAGACCACCGTTGGGCAGCCTCAGACTGTCACTACCAATGTATCATTTTGTGAGTTTTTGTACATCCTCCAACTTTTTCCTCATAATAAATCCTCAAGAGAGATAGTATGCAGGTCAAACCACACGGATATTGTAAATTTTCATTTCATCTAATGAATATATCACCGTATACTTCTGTGTAAGGCTGTACCATGGTATCTGTCACCAACCATCAATGAAAACACACCCAATTTAGATGCAGCTGAGCCTGGAGCTGGGTCATATTTGTGACCTTCAGCCTCCAAAAGAGGGTAAGCCATTGAAGGAGCTAACCTATGCACTTTCTATTCCTGGAGGTGGACAGGGACTCTTTGGTTCCCACCCCAGAAGAGAAAAAGATTAACGTGGGTAGTTGTTTCCTCCACTGAGAGAGCTGGATATGGCTGTGTCCATCATTGAGAGATCTGGTGTACATGGTTTCCATGAGCCGACCCAGTGTGGTTTCCTTCACTCACTGGGAGGATCCAGTGTGGGTGTGGAGGGTCCAGTGTGGGCGTGGGGGGTCCAGTGTGGGCGTAGGGGGTCCAGTATGGGTGTGGAGGGTCCAGTGTGGGAGTGGAGGGTCCAGTGTGGGTGTGGAGGGTCCAGTGTGGGCGTGGAGGATCCAGTGTGGGCGTGGAGGATCCAGTGTGGGCGTGGAGGATCCAGTGTGGGCGTGGAGGATCCAGTGTGGGCGTGGAGGGCCCAGTGTGGGCGTGGAGGATCCAGTGTGGGCGTGGAGGGTCCAGTGTGGGCCTGGAGGATCCAGTGTGGGTGGCTTCCCATCAGCTTGAGAAAAGCTGCCAGTATTGCCTGGGACCTTCTGTTTCTCAGTTTTTGTAACCCAGGAGGAAGCACACAGTGTCCTCCACAGGCAAAGGCGCGCCTATGCGTTTCTGGAGGAGCTGTGGCCGGGTTCCCTGGAGAGAGAATGCCTCGAGGAGCGGTGCTCCTTTGAGGAAGCCCGAGAGATCTTCAAGAGCACGGACAGAGCAGTGAGTGCCCCTCACCCCTGGTGCCACCCAGACTGGAGGGAAATGAGCTGGGGATGGCGGGGTCATACCTGTGTCTCTGAGCCTGTCTCCCCATTTCTGTGGTGGCTGATGCCCAGGAACCCTGACACACACAGGCTTCTACTCTCAACTATGTCATGTGCTGTTTTAAAAAATATTTAATGTGCTTTATTTACTTTCTTTTTGATATTTATATTTAATTAACATTTTTCCCATTTATTTTGCATATCAACCACAGTTTCCCCTCTCCTCACAGAAGACCCCTAGCCATAGCAGAGAGGGCGTGTGAACTGGCCATCCACTGTAAGCCCATATGCAACTTTTTACAACAGGAAAAAAAAAAACCTCCTTTAGGAGGCTTTAGCACACTTGATGTGTCCACTATTTTCCCAAAGGAAAATCCCTTATTCCCTAAGGATCCAGGGCTATTTGTGAAGTTGGCCTGAGAAGGGAAGAGTGCCCTGCCAGGGACGGTCTCACTCACACACACGCACGCACACACGCACGCACACACGCACGCACACACGCACGCACACATGCACACACGCAGCCCTCACTGCTGTCCCTGCAGCAGGCAGCTCCTCTGGAAACTGTGGCCTCTTCCACCACACTTGGCCATGTGCACTACGATTCTGAGTTTCTCTCTCTCTCTCTCTCTCTCTCTCTCTCTCTCTCTCTCTTTAATCTGTTTGTTTCTTTTAGTTTGTTGAAACAAGGTCTTGCTATGTAGCCCAGGCTGGCCTCCAACACTCTCTTCCCGCCTTTGCCTCTGCCTGCCAAACGCTGGAATTCCAGGTATGTGCTTCCCTGCCCAGCCCTATGGTTTCATTATGTAAAGGGAGCATATTTAAACATTCTTGAGCATTTTCCATTCTAGCCAGACGTCTGCCTTTGAAAGTTTTTCCTAGGAAGGGTGTGTCAGGATAGGACCAGTTGTTGAGACTGGGTTCCTCTTGTTTCATTTTGTCACCGGTCTCTAGAAAAAAAACAGTCGGTCACATTCCTGGAGTTACTGTGAGAGGCTTATTGTTCATTCTCCAAGGTACTTTTTCTTCCTCACCAGCTTTGAGTCAATAGCACATCTCACTCTCCTAGAACATCTCTTTCACATACTCACACGCACACAGAAGACCTCACACTCAGAGGAGGCCTCAACTCACAACAGAGAACAACTCTCTCCCGAGAGTCCTCACACTCAAGAGGCCTCACACGGGAAGTACAGGCGCACAGGAGAGCTTACACCTTGCAGAACACCTCACCCAGAAAACCTCATTCTCAGGGGTATCTCGCCACCTCAAAGGACATGTCACACGGGATGAGAACCCCGCATTCACAGAACACAAGTGTCCTCACATGCATGGGGCACCTCACACAGGGAACCTGTAGACGTTACTTTTCTCATTATGACCGAATATCTGATAAAAAATAACTGAAGGAAAGACAGACTTCTTTAGGGAAAGACAGACTTCTTTAGGTCCATGGTTAGGAGGAAGTCCATCACTGCAGGCAGGGAAGGCGGGGCAGCAGGAGCTTGAGGCAGCCAGACACGGGGCATCCAGCCAGGAAGTAGCGAGAGGTGGATGCTGGTACTCAGCTCACTTCCTCCTTGTCATTCAGCCCAGGGCGCCCATGGAATGATGCTTCCCACACTTAGAGCTCCCGGCCACAGCTGGGGAAGGCAGGATCGGGGCCAGAACCCGGGTGCGCTGCCTTGGGAGAGGCAACTGTGTTGTGACTTTAGATGTCTCTAGAAAACGCATAGAAAACATCAACCTCAGATAAGCCCTCCTCATCTCCAGAGGAAATATGACTTCCCAAGTCCCTCACAGAGGCCCATGTTAGGAGCCCCACCCGTAGCTCCTGAGCTCCCTCCATGGGACACTAACTGCTACTTCTCCTCCCCTCAGAAGCAGTTCTGGATTGTGTACACAGGTGAGTAGGTGGGAAGCCATTTGTCCCCCTCCCCCAGAGCCCTCCTTTGCATGACACTAACACACACTGACTCCCCTACAGATGGGAACCAATGCGCCTCGAATCCATGCCAGAATGGGGGCACCTGCCAGGACCACCTCCAGTCTTACATCTGCTTCTGCCTCATAGACTTTGAGGGCCGGAACTGTGAGAAGAGTGAGATCAGCGTCCTGCCTCAGTTTACAGAAGGATAGAGTGGGCGGGGGAGGGCCTGAGTGCCTGCTTCCAGGGTGAACAGCCTCATCAAGGAAGGGGAGGGAGTCCAATCCAGCCCCTTTGGGAAATCTATCCAGGAGACATTAAGTAATCTTCAAATTGAGAGCCTTGGATTTATGAGTCTAAGATTTTGGGTCTCAGACTCAGTGTCCCCTTTGGTTCCCTGTCCTGGGAACTCTAGTGGTCTTCTGGAGAGAGCTGAGGGAACGTCCCTGTGTCACCATCCAGCTTCTGTCCCCACCAGGCAAGCCAACTGGGTAGACTTCATTCTCTACCGGCTGGTTTAAGGTGTGAGGTATTTTTTTCCAGCTTTGAAACATCAAACTAGCGCTAAGCTTGGAGACCATCAAAGCATTCTGGCCCCAGCAGCTCACTAGTGGGCCTCATGGAATCCACTGGCTGCAGATACACACTAGTGTTGTGTCATAGAAGAGGCCAGGGCAGGCTTCCTTCCAGCTGGGCTCTTCTGTGGACTCACACAGGCAGCTCTGCGTTCTTCTGGAACAGCATGTACTATGGAATATCGCCAAACTAGTGAGCCCTTTAACCCCAAGCCTAGGTGTGCACACATGTAGATGAGAAAGACCTATGTCCAGCGCCTCCCAGGACCATGGTCTGCCATCAGTCATACATTGCTAGCCATCTGTATGGCCCACAGCCCCAGACAAGAAGCAGTATTCTGGTTGGAGGATCCCCCAAAGTCTCCTCTCTTCAGACCAAGGGCTCCTTGTTGCCCAAGTGGGTTCTTCTTGCTGTCAGCTGCCTCCTGTTCTCTTCAGAATGAGGCCAGCCAGAGAGAGTAAAGGAAGGAGAGATGTTCACAGAAGGTCACTGGCCTGAGCAGCCTGTACGTCTTAGCACTGACTGTGACCCACGGGTCAGGTCTCCATACTGGAGCTCTGGGCTCACTCACGTGCTGAGCCAGGTCTGGTGTCCGGCACTGCTGAATGGACCACACCACTCTGCTGTCTGGGCCAACGGCCTATGTTGGAACCAAGGGCCTGGATGGCTCACGTGGTCTTGAAGGTTGGCCCTACAACAATTCCTCCCTTTGGCCCTTCCATAGGCCAGTCTCCCATTCTGTTGAGGGTTTTTACTGTCCCTGGGAAATCTTTGCTTACCTCCCAGAACCCATCACAACTTCTCCTTAGACTCTTGGACGGGGTAGCCATCACACACCAGCTTCTCCTGAGACTCTTGGACAGGGTAGCCATCACATACCAGCTTCTCCTGAGACTCTTGGACAGGGTAGCCATCACACATTAGCTTCTCCTGAGACTCTTGGACAGGGTAGTCATCACACACCAGCTTCTCCTGAGACTCTTAGACAGGGTAGCCATCACACACAAGCTTCTCCTGAGACTCTTAGACAGGGTAGCCATCACACACCAGCGTCTCCTGAGACTCTTAGACAGGGTAGCCATCACACACCAGCTTCTCCTGAGACTCTTGGACAGGGTAGCCATCACACACCAGCTTCTCCTGAGATTCTTGGATGGGGTAGCCATCACACACCAGCTTCTCCTGAGACTCTTAGACAGGGTAGCCATCACACACCAGCGTCTCCTGAGACTCTTAGACAGGGTAGCCATCACACACCAGCTTCTCCTGAGACTCTTGGACAGGGTAGCCATCACACACCAGCTTCTCCTGAGATTCTTGGATGGGGTAGCCATCACACACCAGCTTCTCCTGAGACTCTTGGATGGGGTAGCCGTCACACACTAGCCTAGCATCCTCCAAATGCTATTAAGGAGCAGCTGTCAGGACTGCTCAGATGTGCCACTCCCAGCTCCAGGTCTCCTCCCTCCAGATCAGTTCCCAGGGCAGGTGACATCAGGTTCAGCCTCAATAATCCGCTGCTACACAGTGCCTCCCCAGGGGACAGGAACCCCTGCCATCATGGCTGCTGGCTTCTCAGGTTGGCTTCTCCCGTCCTCAGACAAGAATGAGCAGCTGATCTGTGCCAATGATAACTGTGGCTGTGACCAGTACTGCACTGACCATCCAGGGACCAAGTGCACCTGCCACTGCCATGAGGACTATGTGTTGCAGCCTGATGGGGTGTCCTGCAAACCAAAAGGTAAGGGGTCCTGAGGGCTGGTGTTGCCTTACACTCTGAAGAACCAGTCACCTTCACTGGCCTATGGCAAGTTATCAGGCCAAAGATGCGTAATAAGGCCAGACCCCTGCTAAGCCAACATCTGGTAGACACTGAATGACTGGGTGGAGGATGGAGAGCTGAATGACACTGTGCCTAGGAGCTGTTAGCTTGGAATCTCGGGCCAGCGTCCTGCCCTGTCTCAAGGCAAGCCATTGAAGGCAGGCCAGGAATGACATGAGGCCCCTCATCTCCTCTAACACCCAACTTGGACATCTCTAAGACATACCTGGCCAATGTGCCCACTGCTGCACAGTTAAGAACAAAGGATGACTTAGGATAGATTGTGTGCACGTGGGCAGGGGCAGTGTGAGCAGCACATGTGGGCACTGCCTGCAGAGGTCAGGTGTCAGATCCCCTGGAGCTGAAGTTCCTCAGAAGAGGATGAGTCCAGCCTGGTCCATGAAACTGGAAGGTCAGTGGACCAGAGCTAAATCTTCTTTCTCATCCAAGGACCGTGAAGCAGAGAAAGACGCAGGAGTGAGGTCGCCATGTGCAGGTGGCACATTTTCACACAGGCCATCGCTTACCTTGTAGCAAACCCCAGAAGTGTCTTCCCTATGAAGATAGAGCAGACCACAACTCTAGAAAACAAGGCCCCAGTTTCCCCAACCCAGAATCTGTCTCCTCTCCCAGCTGTTGCAATAGCCCTCCCTGACCACCCTAGAGGGAAGCATCTCCTTTACTCTGAGCCCCCTACTGTCCCCAGTAGGAGCTATGGCAGGGGCCAGCTGCATCTGAACCTCTACCTACAAGCACCTCACCACAGCACCCCCTCTTCCTGACTTCTGTTTCATACAGTTGAGTATCCATGTGGGAAAATACCTGTTCTGGAAAAAAGAAATTCCAGCGGCCCCCAAGGCCGGATTGTGGGAGGCAAGGTGTGCCCCAAAGGGGAGTGTCCATGGCAGGTAATGCTCTCTGTCTTGTGCAGACCCCGCCCCTAGCTCTGCTTTCCCTGACTTCAGGGTTTCCGCCCTGGGGTGTAGAACTTTTGAACTGGGTCATATTTACACTCAAGGAACGTGGACCAGTCTCCACCCCACCCATATCCCAAGTTACTCCCCTAACCACACACACACACACACACACACTTGTGCAGAGAAGAGAAAGAAAACAAGTATTGAGGCCCATTCCATGCAGGAAAACCAGCACGGTCTGCTGCTGCTGGGGGTGGGTGATTTGGGGACCTGCCTGTGTACCACACCCCCATCCTCCAGCACCCTTGTTGTCTACCAGGGCCACCCAAGCCAGAGATGCTCTGAGACCTCAGAGGCCCTGTATTGTAGGCAGGAATCTTGTCAAGCCAGCTGCTTCCTGGTGTGACTTTCTGTGTCTGTGTGCCCCCACCCAGGCTGTGCTGAAAAACAGTGGGTCACTGCTGTGCGGGGCCATCCTATTGGACAGTACGTGGATCGTGTCTGCAGCCCACTGTTTCGATACTATCAGGAGCTGGAGGAACATAACAGTGGTGATGGGTAGGTATGGCCTGTCCCTGGCCTCTGACCAGAGGGCATTTTCATATGTCTGTGGCTCAGGGTCAGCCTACCTAACCAGATGACATCTCCAAGGAAGGCCATACTGGAGCTAACCCACCTTGTCCTCTGGGCTTTCCCTCCCCTCAGGGAACAGAGGGAGGTTTGGGGCTTCTCTTTCCATCCTGCCCTTCTCAGAGTGGGCGGCAAGGGTCCCATCCACTCCTCATTCCCTCTCAGTGCCCGGCCTCAGGTTCAGCCCATTGGCAACCTTCCCTCCATAACTGCAATGGGCCCTCATGCAGGCTTTTCCTGGGACCCTGGGAAGAATACAAATCCTCCAGAAACCAGAGGCTGAACTGGCCACATCCCTGTCCACATACTCTAGGCCCGAGGGCCAAGACAAGCAAGAGCTCTGTGTGAGGGTATGGCCTCACATTAGGGTATGTACCCTGAGTGGAATGGCTTCCTCTCAGGTGAGCAAGACTTGAGCGAGAAGGATGGGACTGAGCAGGTACAACGGGTCAGACAGGTCATTATTCCTAACAAGTACATCCCAGGCAAGATCGACCACGACATTGCCCTGCTCCGTCTCCGCCAACCTGTGACCTTCACTGACCATGTGGTACCCCTGTGTCTGCCCGAAAGGGCCTTCTCCGAGAGAACCCTCTCCAGAATCCGCTTCTCAAGGGTCAGTGGCTGGGGCCAGCTGCTGGACCGGGGGGCCACAGCCCTGGAGCTCATGGCTGTTGAAGTGCCCCGGATGATGACTCAGGACTGCCTGGAACACGCCAAGCACAGTCCCAGCACCCCCCAGATCACTGACAACATGTTCTGCGCTGGCTATATGGACGGCACAAAGGATGCCTGTAAAGGCGATAGCGGCGGCCCCCACGCCACACACTACCGTGGCACCTGGTACCTGACAGGTGTGGTCAGCTGGGGCGAGGGCTGTGCAGCTGTTGGCCATGTTGGAGTGTACACCAGGGTCTCCAGGTACACAGAATGGCTGATCAAGTTCATGAACTCCGAGCCCCAGGCTGGGATTTTTCGAGTCGAGCTTCTCTAACTCCTTGGACAGCCCAGGCTTTCCCGAGGAGGAAACTGCTGCTGTGTAGAGCTGTTTTGTATCAAATCCTATGGAGTCTCCTGCTATTCTTGGGGGTGGGGAAGGGGAAAGAGATGAAGAGATAAGGGGGACAGAAAGAGATATCAGAGAGAGGAAAACAGGAAGAGAAACAGAAAGAGGGATCTGAATGAGAAACTAACAAAGACACTCAGGGACTGGATGGTAGAGCCACAGACAGGCAGCCCAAAAAGGCAGGGTGGTCCTGAGGGAGATGAGATCCAGCCCTTGCTGCTGCCTCCCTGCAGCTGCCTCCCATCTGCATGTGCTCTGCCTGCAGTGCTGCAGTGTGCACACGTGCATGTAGAATGTGTGCGCGCATGCATGTGTGTGCACTCACAATGTGTACATCATCTGCACTATCGTTCCCTTTTATTTCTTTCCTTTTTTGCATGAGTACCCCATCTTTATTTCAATTAAACGAGAAACACTTTCTGAGCATGCAGCATCCTTCTTCCAGGCTTCCCAAGGGAGTGTTTCTGAGTTAGTATGCCCTCCCGCCTGCCCGACAGTGAGAGGCTGACCTTCTCAGCACACTTTGGGGATGCCTGCTGTCCCCCTGGATTGACCTTAACTCCCTGAGTGGAGCCTCCGATGGCGTCAGATGCACATCAGCAGGGCTATTCTCCCTGGGAAGAAAGGGACAGTGGGCTGAGAGGGAGCCGAGAGGGTTTGTCCTCAGTGTCCCCAGCCATTAGTAGGTAATACATGTACCCAGCTCACAGAGCTGTCCTGAGATGGCACCAGGAGCCCTTGAGAGGCCTTACTTGAGGGTCTAGCTCCCAGAAGACGGTGTGGTCAGCATGGGGTGTGCTTACTTTCCAATCAACACTCCTGGGAGTGGGGCCAGAGAGAGGGCCGGGCACAAAGGAAGGACCTAATCCCAGGCCACATGTCTGCTACAAGGACCTCACCACCTCACCCTTGATGCCATCACAGATTCAGTGTAGGCACTGAGACCTCCACATCGGCATCGCCAGGCAGGGCAGAGGTCAGACACCAATTGACGGCCACCAGAACACATGCATCTTCTCCAAGTTCTGCTGCAGCCTGATTAACGGCAGTGACTTCCTGGTGAGATGCCAGGCAAACACCATTCCAGTAACCTCTGGCTACGTGCATGCAGCCACAGTCCTGAGTCTTTGCCTAACCAATCACCATAGGTGGCACAGGCTGTAGCCAGTATCATTCTGCCCACTGGTGTGAATACTCCCCAGGCTCAAAAATATCCCCACCAGATAAGGTTTCTAAGGAGGACTGGGTCAGCATGAGTGCCAGCAGTCTGGTCCACATGGAGAAGGTGGAGACAGCTGAGCATTTTCCCCTCACAGGACAAATCTTCGAGTTTCCTTGTTGCTGCTGCTATTGATAACTTCCAGGGGTGTTGATACTGTTTGGAGTCCTGGCCTCCAGCTGCTCCTCCCTGCTAGAGATCTTTACTTTCCTTCTGATTTGAGTTACTGAAAGCTGTGTCAAAGTTGCTTACCAGCTCTGCTTCACGAGCATGGGTTGCCTTGGCCTTGAGGATCAGAGGATAAGGTTTTCACCTGCTGGCCCACTTGACTGTTGGGTATATAAGCCTCCATGGTGCTATTGAATAGAGGGCTTCTTACCAGTGACTAGAGGTCTGGGTCTCTGTCTCTCTGTCTCTCTGTCTCTCTGTCTGTGCGTCTTTGTGTGTTTCAACCTCCAGCCCCTTGCCCGGAGCTCGCAAACTGTATGGTAGCTCATAGAGCACAGACAGGCGTTGTGAGCGGCACAGGGGTGCCTCCTAGTGATGAGCCACAAGCTCAGAACCTCTGAGTCTGACATTCCAAGAAAGATTTCTAGGCTCAGGGCAAACCGCCCCACCCCACAGCCCTGCCACGGCCTGGAGCGGCCTCCATACATGTATACACACTCCCAGCAGAGTCACATGACCACAGCGTGGGCAAGAAGCTGTTTCCACTGTTACAGTCCTCGAATGACGTGTCCTTCTCTGGCCTCCTCTTTCAGGACTGAGGGAAAATGGCCACCCCTTTGCAGGTGTGAACGATAGGCTCTGCAGAGGTGGCCATGACCACCAAACACCAAACCTCCCCTCACACTCTCCGTCCTCCAAAGTTGGAAGTGGCAGGCCTGGCAGGCAGGGGCAGACACCCCGCCTCCTGCCAACCCTGATGTGTGCCTTGGGTCCCTGTGGACTCTCCTGGATGTCACATATCAGAGAAGAGAGTTTGTGTCAAGACACCAGCAGTTCAGGGCTCCTGTCCCCCAGGAGCCCGGCCTGCTTCCATGACTAGATTACACAGCCATTGTCCAAGGGACACACGAGCCCCACACTTATGTCTGTGCCCGGAGTTAGCTGGGGCCAGCCAGAGGACTGAGGGCTTGGGCATGAACCCCACATGTGCCCTGGTACCCAGGGGGAGCCCAGCCTGCTTCCATGACTAGATTACACAGCCATTGTCCAAGGGACACACGAGCCCCACACTTATGTCTGTGCCCGGAGTTAGCTGGGGCCAGCCAGAGGACTGAGGGCTTGGGCATGAACCCCACATGTGCCCTGGTACCCAGGTTTTGCCTCATCCCCATCTCAACTAACAGGGGGTAGGATGAGTATTAGAAAACACTATAACTGCTCTTAGTGCAAAGCAGGCCCTTCCAGGCAGTTTGGGATAAGGATAGCCAGCCCGGAAAAGGCTGGGGCTGGTGGCCACAGTTCCCAGTCCCCTGACCTCATTGCTGGCTGGGGCTCCAATCAGGAGGCTGAGATAAGCAGGAGGACCATGGCCACCTGGGGCTCAGGGCGAGTGAACCTTGCCCCCATGCCTGTCCCAGCAGCTGCTGTCCTTGACCACACCATGGGGAGCCTGCTGAGACTCAGCCTGCTCTATGTTGCCCTGGCCAGCCTCCTGTCACCTGGAAGAAGCCGTAAGTGCTCCAGCCCTTCACACTGTAGAGTGGCCCAGGAGGAGGGCGTGAGGGTGGGTAGTGGGAAGGGCGGGGTGGTAGGTGCACTGACCCAGCCACAGGCTGGCTTCTGCTGGTATAGTTAGGGCCAGCTGTGGCCACTCATGCGGGGCACAGGGAGTGAAAAGCCTGAAGAAAGGAGGAGAAGGGAAGCAGAACAGAGACAGGGTGGGACAGGGACAGTGATAAGGAGAGAGAGGAGGACAGAGATAAGGAGAAAGAGAGAAACAAAGGAGATAAAGTCACCCAGCACGGGAGAGACAGGAACTGGGGCTCCCAAGCTTGGGAAGCTGAGGTGGGCCACAGACTGCACAAGACAAGGTTGTACAAACAGGCAACAAACAGCCCCCAGACCTGCTCCAGAGAGGGCTCCACTCACACAGAGCTGGCCTTGCACCAGGACAACCTCAGCAACACAGGGGCACTTCCCACTCATTTGGTCCTGACCGAGGAAAGCACCGCTGGCAAACCTGACACCCAGTCGATGGGTCAATGCCTGCTAGTAACTGCCAAGGTCAGCGCCACAGAGACAACCCAATGTTTGAGGACAGCAATGTGCAGGGACTGGAAAATCAAAGGCCACAGGTAACAAAACACACAGCCAGGACTGGGCAGTAGAATGCGTGTGTCAGGATGTTAGAGTCTTTGCCAGTTCCCAGGGACGAGTGTTCACAACATTGCCGTGTTTTAATTTCATGCTGCCAATCTTGATCTTACTCAAATCAGAACCTATGGCTGCCAGCAGGGTGCGTCTGCGTGACTGTCTAGGGTGTGGGTATAGTGTTCCAGCAAAGCCATTCACAGAGACTGATTTAATCAAAAGGACAGGACGCCAGACCAGCTGCCTTCATTCACTGGACAGGGGATTAGTAGGTAGCATTGTTTCTAGACCTATGAATAGCCACAGGCAGATGGGCCACCTACGTTTATAACCACAGGCAGATGTACCACACGTGTTTATATTCCCAGAGAGGTGACAGCAGCAAACCAAGAGATACATAACATCATAGAGCAGCCATGTACTATGCCCAGAAACAGCACAAGGCAAGGGGTCCAAGAGATATGGAGGTGGTCAGGATGGTGGACCTCCAGAGGGGTCACATAATAGATCTGTGAAGGTGGTCAGGATGTGGACCTCCAGAGGGGTCACATAATAGATCTGTGAAGGTGGTCAGGATGTGGACCTCCTGGGAGGACATGCGATGGAGTGACCCATGTGTGCAGATGGGCACACCAGTCATTTTTCAATCACTGTGACCAAATACCTGCACTGGCCACTTTAGGGAGGAAGGGTTTCTCTTGGCTCGTGGTCTCAGAGGTCTCAATCCATCGTAGCAGGGAGCATGTGACAGAGTGGAGCAGTTCCCCTCATGGCAGCCAGATAGCAGGGAAAGGGAGAATGAGAACATACGGTCTCCTGGACCTGCTGGTCTCCTCTCTCCTCTCCAGGCTCCCAGGCGGTGTGGCGACACACCCATGCTCACAGTGCATCTCCCCCCTCAGTTAGTTCTACCTGGAAGCCCCTCACAGACACACCCAGAGGTGGCTCAGTCCAGGCTGATAATGCAGGGTCATCTTCCTACCAGGGAAGAATGAACCAGGCAGGGAGAAAAGCTTGTGCGAAGGCCCTAGCGAGAGGACACCAGGGAACAGGTGAGGTCCCTCACCCTCGCCCTTCTCTGTCTGCTAGTGTTTATTAACCGGGAACGCGCCAACAATGTCCTGACGAGGATTCCAAGGGCAAACTCATTTTTTGAAGAGATGAAGAAGGGCAATCTGGAAAGAGAATGTATGGAAGAAGTATGTTCTTATGAAGAGGCCCGCGAAGTCTTCGAGGATACTCAGAAGACGGTGAGTCAGGCCAGGTCCTTGCCGGCTGGTGCTGGGCCTTCTCAGTTCCTTTCTAGCTGGGGTTGGGCCATCCTGGGCTGCTGCAGGGTTCCAGGCTGGCCCAGATTTGGATCCTTTACCCACAAGCCTGTGAAGCGTAATTGGGGAAAGCAACCAAGGGGTTAGACGGTCAGGTATATTAACCTAGCCTGTTGCCTGTAGAACATCCATTTTGATCTCTTCTGCATCCCTTCAGCTCTCTTCCTGAGTAGAAAAACTGAGGGGGAGAAATGCCACATAACACAAAGTTAATGAGAACTTGTTCGTAACCTAAGTTAACCTAAGAAAATTATATATGTCTATAAATACACACATGTGTGCATGAACGTACATATGCATGTATGTGTATATATGTACATATGTAATATTTACGTGAATACATGTATGTGTGTGTACATATATAATATTTACGTATTGTGTATTATGCATGTATGTGTGTTTGTATATTTATCCCCTCATGGTCCCTATCAGTGCTTCCCGGATAAATGTACAACAGTGGCCACTGCCCTCCCTCTCCAGTGGGTAAGGAGACATGTGACAGGAGACCCACAGCACCACCATCACTACCTACGTACGCAGCATCAGGAGTGAGCCTGCTTCTCTTCCCCAGAAGACGGGGATCTTCAAGTGCCCGGTGGAAACGTGAGCCCCAAGTAACAGGAAGGAACTAACAAGAAGAGTCCCCAAAGGGGGCCGAGGAGAAGCTGAGGGAGGGAGGAACAGTTATTCCAAGCAGTTATTTCCGGACCCAAGTGGAAATGACAAGGCCCACTGCTGCTGCCACCACTGAAGGCCACAGAGCAAGACCTGCTCAACTACCAAGGCCAAGTCACTGGCTCCGTTTAGGAATTCAGTCACCTGAGGCCAGGGCCGCCTGACCAAGGGCTTTAGGCCAATGTGACTCCTGGAGACTGGGATGGGACCAGTGGCTTTCATCTGGTTGTGACTAAACACCGTGAGAACAGGTAAAGGCGTGGAGTCTTAGGGCTCTCGCTATCAAAGGATTCTTAGGGTCTGTGATCAATTCATCTCATGATCTTAGACAGAACACCCTAGCAGTAGCCAGAAGAGACATGCTCTCCTCATAGCAGACAGGAAGCAAAGGGGAGGACAGAAAGGAGCTGGATCTGAGATCCCGCCAAGGACACCCCCACCCAACCACCTCGTCTTCCAGATAAGCCCCACCCAGAGTTTACAGAACCCCCCCCCCCCCCAAAGTACCACCACCACCTGGACACCAAATGTTCAGTACGTGAGCCTCGGAAGGACAAGCCATCAGAAAGGCCAGGTCACAAGGCAAGGCCAGCTCGAGAGGGCAGGGTGCATTTACACACGTGGAATACCGAACAGCCTTAGGGGGCGCACTGAGGTTAGGACCCTGGAAGAGTGGGAAGAGCCGGTGTCATGCTCTACAATGCTGCATGGGCACCACTCCGTCACTTTCCCTCCAAAGAGATTAAGACTCCATGCCATTGAAACCACTCGGACTGGAGCATGGATGATTTCCCGAGGAAGGAATCCGCCATGCGTGCTTAAATCCTCCTTGGTTTTTTAGAAACATCCGTGCATTGCATCACCTGACACAACAAAACCAGGTGTGAGGATTGTTCCAGAAGTGTACTGTAAGGTTTTAGTAGTTAATGACTTTGACTATACTTAAGAACAGGAATGCCAATTCCAGGATTAGAGGTTCACTTGACTCACGACCCTGAATCTTTCTATGTTCTGCGTGACCACGTAGTCTATTATGATCCCACTGAAATCACGGAGAAGAGTGTAACGGGTGAATAGACACCCTGTGGGTGGTAGCATGATCACATTCATTCAGAAAGCCCATCCCATTTACCCCACCTTTGGTGAGAATCGCCATGGTGGAAAGGCATGATGGAGTCCTGGAGGTGAACCTGACAGAAACCAACCTCTCAGGACTGAAGAAACCTATGCAGTTCCTCACAGCATCTCTGTGAGGTAAGCTTTTACAGCCAGCCACCTCCAGCTGCAGCCAGGTTCCTCAGCAGGTTTGTTAGGGAAGAAGTGCTGGAGGTGATACCCACCCACATTCCTCTATCCCTACAAACAAGGATGCTTCTAGTGGGGGGGGGGGGTGGCTCTAGGGGGCACTAACAGGTCACAAAGGAGGCGTGTGATGCTTAAACTAAGCCATGAGAGCCTTTTGAAAATCAAGCTAAGATCATTGACCATGGCAAGACAGGTCTACGGGTGAAAACTTCTACATGGCCCATCCTATATGACTGGAGCACGGGTATCAACTGGGCCATGAGTTTCTGGAAGATACAGGCAACATGAGGGGAGAATATGGTTCCTGTCACAAAAAACAAGATGAGGAAAATGCAGCAGGCTTGGGTACACAGGAAGCTGGACACGCCCTGGAAAGCAGATGCTGAAGGAAGAGAATTTCACAAGCTTGTTTCGTGTATGATCTCATTTATCAAAGATTCTTAAAACATCATTACTTTATCAAAGAGCTGTAGGTTCCTGGTGATACCAGGACTTGACAGTTTGGGGACGGTGATTGAGGGTTGGGTGAAGATGGGGCTGTGTTTGCTTGCCACAAACCAGGTGAGTGCTCTCCTCCAGGCTGTAGCTCCAGCCTAAACAGAAATATTTTAAAGACAGCACATTCATTGCCATGACAACCATAACAGGGTCCTATAAGCAGAATGACTTAGAGTAACAGGATTTATTCCCTTGAAATTGGAGGTAATGAATGCAAAGCCAGGACCCAGGTCAGGCTGGATCCTTTGGAAGTGCCAGAAGAAACTCTATGCTGTAGCTCCGGTAGTTACCTCTGTAACTACCGGAGGGAGCCCGTGACCTGCCTCCTCTGTTGGCTCCAGGTCATTCTTTACTTCGAGGTGGACACTGTCATTGTCCTGGATGATCCTGGATGACCTCACCTGAGGTCCTAATGATGGCTCTAATTTACACCCACAAAGTTCCATTTCTAGTTAAGGTCATATTCTGAGGTCCCAGTAGGTCTGAATGGGGAGTGGGATTGTGACCGACTGTGTGTGCTGTGACTGTCTGTTTGTGTGACATAGGCCTTGACCTAAGATAGTTAGCAATTTATACTTTTCCCACTCACGCGACTGGCAACCTGTGATTTTTTTCTTAATTTTGAGCATGTTAACTGATCATGCTCCCGTGGCATATGATGAATAGCACTATTTTTCCTAGCCTGTTTCTTGTTTACCTTGAAATGTGGTCTCAATACTCATCAAGGGCCATGTGTTGAAGCAGATGGGAGACAGGCCCTCTCAGGAATGCTGGCAGCTCTCCCTTTCAGATGGAGAAGTTCTGGAACATTCCTCCAGGCAGGTTACTGGAGATGGTTACTGTTAGTGTAAAATAGTCTGTTTGTTTTCTAATGTGTTTTAAAATATTTTTTTCTTTTAGAATGAATTCTGGAACAAATACAAAGGTAAGATATTTCAATTTTAATCATGAGAGAGTCTCCTCAACATTTAAATGAAGAGAAAGGATTAGCTTTGGAAAACATTTTAAATTACATTCTGGTTCAAATCTTATTTATCTACACTTTTCCCTTCTATATTTCCATGATACTTTTTAAACGTATTTTATAGTAAATTTATATGGATTCCAGTTTATTATTTATTAAAATACACATCTTTCTGGGGATCTTGTTGCCCTCAGTGTCCTGTCCACAAACTCCCAGGTTCAAGCTGCCCTCATTACCAACCTCTTGAGGAACTTGGACTGTATGTGTTTTCTACCATGTCTGGCTCAGATACAGATTTAAGTCCATTCTTCCTTGTATCTGAGGATGCCAAATTCCATGATATTTTTAACAAGTTTAGCAAGCTGAAGCAAACAGTGGAGCTTGAAATACTGGACTTTCCAAAAGGTGGCCACCCTGACAACTGTTCATAGCATCAGAGATGATACTGATTATGGCTACCTGGAAGTTATTTCAAAATGCCTATTAGACACTCCTCCTCTGAGTAAGTGACAAACCAAGAGAGGTGGAGCCTGTGCCAGAGCTGGATCATCCCCTGGTTCTCATTCCACACCCAGCGGCCTTGGGGGAAAGAGTTCTCTCTTTCTCTGACCAGCACCCAGTCCAGAAACAAGTGCCACATTGTCCCCTGTCCTTCTCCTTTGCAGAGGAGGTAAAGCCCCTCTTCTTGGCCACAAACACATTGTAATACATCCCAGAGAAACCAGAAACCTGGCCAACGTTGCAAGGCACAGGGGTATCACACATACATAGCCACCAAAGTGGGAACTAAACAAAATCTGGTTATGATGAATTTATTCTCAAAGAGAAGCAAGCTCAAGCTATCGGCAAAGTGGCTGCAGGTACCACACAGTGTCAGTGGTGGCCACGATGAAATGACTTCAGCCTTGGTTTCCAAATCCTCTCACTGCAGATGGTGACCAGTGCGAAACCAAGCCTTGCCAGAATCAAGGCCAGTGTCGCGACGGCCTCGGCGAGTACACATGCACCTGCATGGAGGGATACGAAGGCAAAAACTGTGAATTCTGTAAGTCCCTCTCTTGATGGAGCTTCGGGTCATACCAACAACCAGGGAAGAGGGAGACACTGAAACACCTAACGAGACACCTAGGTCGTTGGTCACTCTCCGACACATCGAACCACTGGATGTGTCTGTCCTCTAGCTGCTCAGCGGGGTGTGATGTGGGAGACACGGTTTCCCTGTGAGAACCGGGTAGACCGTGCCCACGGCTCCTCCTGCTTCTGCCTTTGTTCACACCTGTCAACACAAGCATCAACAAGGAACAGTCTAGGCTGCCCAGTTTCAGATATGTGGTGCCCTTAGCTGATTCCACAGGGAGCCTCACTGAGCTATTCGTACCATGGTTACTCCATTTTTAAATAGTCATTAGGTTTCTCTCAGCCCGGTTCTCCCTAACAAGTAAGACCTGCATTTCCTTTACCTCTTTATCTTTTTATCTTTTATTTATTTATTTATTTGCTGCGGTCTCACTTTTTAACCAAGGCTGGACTAGAACTTATATAACTTATATATAGCCCACTCCAGATTTGAACTCCTAGCAAATCTCCTGCCTCAACCTCCTAAGTGGGATTACAGGTGTATGTCACCATGCCCAGGGTTAAATTACTTTCCTTATAGAATAAGGTCTTTATCCGGACGCCCTCAGGACTCTCCCCAGTGGAGCTGCTGGTTATGATTATGAACCCTTCCACAGAAGCTCATCCAGTTCCTGTACGCAATAGACTAACATATCTAATGAGGGCACAATCCGGGAGCTAAAATTCCATCAAGGTAGATTTTACTCCATAATTGTTTTCTCACCAAACCCAAGCAGAGGGCTGTAAAGCAAATTGCTACAGACGTGGTTATTAGCGTGAGCTGGATCAGCTAGCACTCTGGAAGCAGGTGGGTACCTCTGGTCTAAGACGCGGTGGATGGAGGAATACAGGCTCAGTCAGCCCTAAGGTCAGAAGTTACCAAGGGAGTTTAGCAGGCGCTATGCCGCAATTTCATGTAGCCTAAAGTTCCTTTGCTTTCATGATTTCCTAGCGTGTAGATGGAGCGGCGGGACTTAAATGGCACCCCCACCCCTCCACTTCCATCTTCTCTGGAGCTGACTCCTGGCTTTCTGCCACACACTTCCCATAGATAATTATTCCTTCCAGGTCTCACGGGAACCCAGATCCCAAACCATGACATGCCCACAGCACGGTGCCCGGTGCGTCACTGGGGCCAGGGTAGTGCTCAAATACTGTTCATTGTTACTGAGTGAGGGAAGAAAGAGGTTCAGGTAGGATGCAATTCTTTGCCCATGCCAAGGGCAGCACCCTGGAGGAGCAGGATTGCACAGCCCTCAACAGAGAACATGCATCTGCTGTCCCTCACAAAGCTTCTCATTGGAGAGCCCTGTGAGGATGCCAGGTGTCCCTCCCCTGGCCTGTGCGGATGCTGGGTGTTCCCCTCATAACCTGTGCATATGACAAATGTCCCTCTCGTTGTCTGTAAGGATGCCAGGTGTTTCTCCTGTAACCTGTGCTTGTGTCAAATGTCCCTTTCAAGGTCTGGGGAGGCAGCAGCAGGAAGAAAGGCTTACATGTGGCTGGCATCTTGTTTGGCTGCCTGTCCTGTTATCATGGAAACCACCCTGGTGTGGTCCTTTGCATACCATGGCCTAGGCATGGCTGAGGCTGGGCAGACAGAGCTGGCATGTCTGAATTCATCACATGTCTATGGGAAGGGCTCATCTGTCCTCTGTTTTGCAGTTGTTCGGAAACTCTGTAGCCTAGACAACGGAGACTGTGACCAGTTCTGCAGCGAAGAGCAGAACACGGTGGTGTGCTCCTGCGCCAGCGGTTACTTCCTGGGTGATGATGGCAAGTCCTGCATCTCCACAGGTAGGAGTCATCAGGCTGTGGAGACGGTGTGACATTGCTGAGGGCATGTTCTGGTGGCATCTGCAGAGCAGTGATGACAGGAGATGGAGAGTAAGAAACGGGGCTCTGGACAGATCAGCCATAAAAGCTTCAGGTTTGAGAGGAGATGCATTAGACCTAAGGATAAGCGGCTGCTCCACCTCCGCACCTGAAGGGGCTAACACTGCTGCCTCATTGCTGGCAAAGGAGGTGATCCCAGGCATCACTGAGTTGGGCATACCCACAGCTCTAGCTGTGACTTCTGTGCAGGGTAGTCCATGCTCCTCTGGCCTGGGGGCCTGGAAAGCACAGCTATCACAATATCCCAGGGGCAGAACCTGCCTAGGTCAAGAAGGAGGCCTGGGCAGGTAGCAGAGCCCGCACTGGTATCATTTTTGAGGCCCCACGCTGATTGGGTTTGCTTTTTACCTGGTGAGAGCTGGGTGTGCTGGGTCTTATGAGCAACAGAGCCACTACTAACAAGGCTCTCAGAGAGCGGTGAGTGCCATGTGGGCAGAGGAACACGAAGGCCACGGGAATGATAAGGCCCAACTGGTGTTCTTGGTTACAAGGGTCTCCTGAAGAAACAGAGACATTGCAGGTTATTTAAGCTTCTGGGCAGCAAGGACAATCAGCCTCTGATGGACTGACCGCCTAGTGACTCTTCAGAAGTTCTTTTTATTGATACACAAAAGGCCCTTTAGCGAGTCAATTCCCGCATACCAAAATCTCTTATCTGAACTAGGAGTCATCTTAAGGAACTATTACCTAAGCAAACACAATCATGCTAAAAATGCCAGGTTTGCCAGGAACATCTTATGACTGAGGTTATGCCAAGGCTCTGATAGTCCCAAGACAGAGCAACCTCATAAAAACTCAGATAACAATCATTGATTATTTACAAGAGATTATTTCAAGGCCTAAGTGGTCATCACTCCGGAGTAAATGACAGGTGCAACAGCTCTTTTAATATTCCACTGCACTCATCTGGGCCATACAGACATAAGATGAGCTCTCTGAAAAGTCAGAGTTGGTCCACAAATGGTCCCTAACTTTCGCCATGGCATCCCCCGGGGTGGGTTTGAAGTGCAGGGTCTCAGCCCCGCATACAGTCTGGATGATCAAGCTCAGATGAGAAGAGATAGGGCTCAGGATGCTGAGTCATTTCTCCCTCTTTCCCCACTCATCTGCTCCTCACCAAAACAAAACAAAAAACAAAAAACAAAACAAAACAAAAACCTATTTGAGACTGGAGAGAGATGGCTCAGTGGTCAAGAGCACTGGCTGCTCTTCCAGAGGACCCGAGTTCAAGTCCCAGCACCCACATGGCAGCTCACAACTGTCTGCAACCCCGGTTTCAGGGGATCTGACACCTTTACACCAATGCACATAAAATAAAGTTAAATAAATTATTTTTAGAGTGATTTTTTTTCAGAAATTAAATAATCAGAGAAGAGTGGCTCCAAATACATGCTTCAAGGATGAATTCAATTGCATAACATGAAATCTCTCAACAACCTAAACACAAGGACTTTATTCCCACTGACATATTTTTAAGTTTAAATTAGTTCAGAAAATTTTAACTAGAGCTATTTCTTTATATGTGTATAAATTATTTTAACTCCAGGGATAATTGCAAATCAATTCGAAATAAGACTTAATATCTGAAAACGTAACAAAAGGCTGAGGTGTGGCTCAGTAGTAGAGAACTCACCCAGCATGGGTCCAGAGGTTGCAACTGCATATCTCAGCCCAGAGATAGTAAATTGCAGGACAATGGATGCCATGTCCCCAGCAACAGAGTCCCCAATCCTTCTCACTGGCTAAGGACACAACAATATCTCTTGGGAAACAGGAGTGAAGGCTACACTGTAACATGACCTTAACCCATCACTGGCACAGACCAGCCACTAGGCTCAATCTCAGTCGACAGTATCCCTTTCTCACCATTGGATTTTGCTACTTTTCTTGCAAAACTTAAAGGCTCTTAGCTCTGCTTTGTGTTTCTGGCTCTCGCTTTAAACTTGGTTAAAAGCAGACAGCAATAACCGTGCCACAGCCTGAATGCTGGGCTGCCAAGAAATTTCTTCCACCAATTTAGTTTGCCTGTCGTCTTTATAACATGGCTCCCACAGTCTGAGGGCATGAGCAAAATTAAACAAGTTTTTATAGTCAATGGCCTCCAGTCCAGTTCCCAAAAGAGTTCCTGTTCCTTTCCAAGCTTCATAGTCTTTGCTATCCACAATCCCATCAGCATTCTTGTCTTCCGAGCTCCCACTGGGAACACCCGTTTAGCTCTGCCAACAGAAGTCTAAATTTTCTCTGCCTCTCATCTCTAAATGCTTTCAAATCCTTCTTCTACAAACTGGCTCCAAGCCTTTCGAACCACATTGACCAAGTAGCCATAGCAACAACCCCACTCTTGGTACCAAATTTTTGTATTAGCCAGAATTTCAGGGATGTGACAAAGCACCTGACCATTAAAGGATAAGGGATTTGCTCAGCTCAGCTTTCAGAGACTCAAGCCCATCGTGGTGTGGGAAGCACAGCTGGGCTGAGGCTCATCTGGTGGCTGCCAGTAATGGAGAGAGAAAATGTCTGTGCCAACAAGTTTTGTCCTTTTCTCTATGTTGTTTTGTTTGGATCCTCAGAGTATTGTGATAGTTCTGCCTACACTCGGGGTATAGCTCTCCCATCTTAGTTAATCTTCCTGGAAACGTCTTTATAGTTATGCCAAGAGCTGTGTTTTGTTTTTCTTTGAGACAGGATTTCTCTGTGTAGCCCTGGCTGTCATGGAACTTACTCTGTAGACCAGACTGGCTTCAAACTCAGAGATCTGCCTGCCTCTGCCTCCTAAGTGCTGGGATTAAAGGTGTGCACCACCACCACTCTGCAAGCTGTGTTTTACTAGTATCTCACTTGACTCTCAGTCAGGTTTAACCATCAACCCTGGGCTTCCAGGGAGCCTCAGTAGGCCTGTGGAGCTTCTGGCTTTGCTGAGGCCTCCTCTGTTCTCCCTATTCTTTCAGTGCCCTTCCCCTGTGGGAAAACCACCATAGGACGTAGGAAGAGATCCTTGGACCAGAGCACCAACCACAGTGAGCCTTTCCATGAAGACCTCCTGGACTTAGAATTGCTGTCACCTACAGAGAATCCTTCCAACCTGCTCAACCTCAATCAGACACAACCAGAAAAGGACAGCTCAAGCGTTATTCGGATTGTGGGTGGCCGAGCATGCAAAGACGGGGAGTGTCCCTGGCAGGTAACTGGGCCAAGATAGAACTAGTGGCCCATAGAACAGGCTGGTGGGATGATCCACTGAGGGTCAGCAACTCAGACCTGCAAGGGTCCTTCCTGGTGGTCATCATTCCTCTTCTAGTGTGAGAGTATTTTTTAAACAAAAACATTTAAATACTAAGAGGTATAAAATACCTTTAAAAAAAGACACATTTATTTATGTTCAAAATGTTTGTTTTCAACCACTCTTTGGTTATTGACGTGGCCCAGGACTGCCAGACTTAAGAAAAAAAAATCCCAAGCCCCCCAGCAAGACTTGAGTCTCCCACAACGAACGCTCCCTGATGTAAAACTGAACACGGAAGGAAAGTGCTCACCCACTTTCTGACCCCAGCTTTGCAGGGTTTTCTGAATCTCCTCCATCATCCCCACTAGCACTTGAGGTTTCCAGCTTCCCAAACCTAAATACCTATCCAAAAAGAAAGCTGGGGGTCATGACCCCTTGGGATTGCATATCAGATATCCTGCATATCCGATGTTTACATGATGCTTTGTAACAGTAGCAAAGTTATAGTTATGAAGTAGCAATGAAATGATTTTTATGGTGGGGGGTCACCATAAAAGGATTAAGGGACTGCATTAAAGGATTGAAGCATTAGGAAGGTTGAGAACCACTTTCCAGTAGTCACCGGCAATCCCCGGAGATCACCTAAAAACCCTCCCCCTACAGGGCCCTGGGCAGGCCTGACTGCCCAGAGGCAGGAGAAGCAGCCCCAGCCTCATTGCACACATGTACCAAGAACTGGCTGGGCCCAGGGAGGCTGATGACTTCCTCTCCCTTGCCACTCAAGCAAGGTTTGAGTTTATATAACTATCCAGAATAAACAGGGACTGGGAGAATGGCTCAATGGTTAGGAGTGGGTACTGCTTTTCCAAAGAACCAGAGTTCAATTCCTGGCACCTGTATCAGGCAGCTCCCAAGTCCAGGAGATCTGCCACCTTTGACCTCCACAGTGACCCCCCACTCATAAACATACACATAAACATAATTTTAAAAAACAAATATGTCTTTAAAATAAGAAAGAGAAAATAAACTCGGTAAAGGGAAAGTTGTCTTTTTAGCTATGAACAACACCAAGAATTCTTTCAGGACTTAATACTTCCATGTACTTTTTTTGTTTGTTTGTTTTAGATAGGGTCTCACTATGTGGGCCTGGCTAGTCTGGAACTCACTATGTAGATCAGTTTGGTTTCAAACTCTTAAGATCTGCCTGCCAGCTTCTGTCTCCCTATTCCCAGGATTAAAGCAGCCTTGACTTTTTGAATGTGGCCTCCATGAGAGCAGTGGTTCTCAACCTTCTTAATGCCGCAACCCTTCACACAGTTCCTCATACTGCCATGACCTCCAACCATAAAATTATTTTGTGGCTACTTCGTAACTGTAATTTTGCTACTGTTACAAATTGCAATGTAAACATGTGGCATGCAATCCCAAGGGGGTCGTGACCTGCAGGTTGAGAACCAGCATGTGAGAGGGTAGGGAATTCCCTAGAGAAAGTCAAGCCAGTCCACGCTTGGTGCCCAGCACTTCAGACCCAGTGCTCTGGGATGGGCACGGTTCCCCTCATGCCGTCAATGTTTGCTTACCACAGATCACCGCTCAGTGGCATCTGTCACTGAATGTCACATTCAAGAGCAGCTACATGTACCCAGAGTCAATCATCCCAGAAAGTGACATTTCACAAGCAGGAAGGCAGGTCTGAAGGCGGGATGACTCTGGATGATTCTGACTCTGGGAAGTGAGGTGTTTTCGCAAAGCCAGGCTGGTCTAGGTCATGAGTCATGGCCACATAAACCCAAAGGCTCTACTATGGTGAAATGCTTTTCTGTGCATAGGGAGAAAATGCTAGGACTGGTTTGGACAAGATGAAAGAGGAGGCCCTGTTAGAGGGACCTTGTCATGGGTGGGAAGGAGACAGGCAAAGGCATCCTGCAGGGCTAGCACTTGGCCCAGGGCTGGAGCCTCAGCAAATGTCTGAGGACCATCAGTCGGTCAGTCCATCTTTAAAGCAGACCAAAGCTATAGTGTGGAAATAAAGCTGGATGTCTCCAGGAGTCAGTCACAATGTGGGCACTGGAGAACATTCAGATTGCCGGGCAGGAAGGGCTGGGTCACTTGCATGGATGCTTCAAGAGGTGCAGGGCCAGAAAGAGTTGTAGGGCTGGCTAGTGGGGTAGCGAGCAGTGCCTTGCTGTGGGGTAGAATACATGGTTCCCTGCCAGGCTCTAGCACTAAGAGAAAGGCAGGAAGCAGACAGGCAGAAGGGGCTGGATCTTGGGGTAGTCCAGCAGACATGGAGAGCTGTGGTCAAGTGTAAGGCTCCTAGAAAAGGTTCCTTGAGACCCTGCAGAGAGCCCACACGGCCTAGTCAGCTTGGCATGGCCCTCGTGCAGACCGTAGGTAGTTTGCAGACACTCTGTTCTGGTCGCAGGCTCTGCTCATCAACGATGACAATGAGGGCTTCTGTGGGGGCACCATCTTGAATGAGTTCTACATCCTCACGGCGGCCCACTGTCTGCACCAAGCCAAGCGATTCAGGGTGAGGGTAGGTAAGTGACGCTCCAGCCCTGGGGACGCCACCATCTCAAGCCCTGGGAATATGATTGCTGCTCTCCCCCTAGAACTACACATGGGCTCTATGAGCAACACCTGCTCAAATGCAGATGCTCTACTTGGAGATAGTCAGAGAGGAGAAGGGGGTGGTCATCTCCAGACTTCCGGGGCCGGGCCATTCCGCACAAAGACTTCCCACCTTCCCTCTTCAGTGCTTTCATGGCATTCCTCTCAGCGTCCTTCCCTCAAAAACCTTCCCAGCCTGCCTCTCTCCACAACACTCCTGGAGTCTCTTACTTCCATTTATGCCTCAATATTACTTCATTTTGGTGTTTCTATGAGACCCATGAGCTTGGCAGTGAAAAATCCTGCACAAACCCCAAATGCAGTTTGAAAATGTCTGGCATCCCTCCGCTACAGATTTAACAAGCAGAGATGGGCAAGGTTATTCCAGTGTCTTATTTCCAAAGCCCTGACTTCCCAGGTGTTTAGAAATAAATAAACCTCCTCAGCTGCGAACGAGATGTTACTACAGTCTCCTTTCACAGCCAGCGGCACTGCGCCCTCAGCTCATCTCAGGTCAGACCACTTGGGCCTGGGAGCACAGCCCAGGTCTGGAAGAGGAGAGAGACCCTTGGCCTTGAGCTGATTGACAGACCCAGCTTGCCAGAAGTACTCAAGTGTGAGGAATTGGAAAGCACAAGAGCCCTAAACATTCACACAAAAATGTGATTAGTGGTTAGCAGTATTTACCACTCTCGCACAGGGCCTGGGTTCAGTTCCCAGAGCCCATGTGGTGGCTCACAGCTGTCTGTAACTCCAGGTCCAAGGGGATCTGATACTCTGGTCTCCATAGGCACTAGGCATGTGCACAGTACACACACATACACACACAGGCAAATGTTCACAGACATTAAATAAAATAAACCTTTTTTAAAAAGTCTTTAAAAATATGACCAGAAGGGGAAGCCCTGGGAGGAAGGCAGAGCCCTTTGGTCTCTGCAGAGAGCAGGCTCTTCGTGAATCTGCGAGCACTGCCTCGTCCTTCTGAGCGCTAGGACACAAGCATATGCTCCTTGACGTGGGTCTGGTTTTTTATTAGGGAAAATTATTTTGTGGGGTGGGGTGAAGGGTTTATTTGCCTTAATCTTCCACATCACTGTTTATCACTGAAGGAAGTCAGGGCAAGAATTCAAACAGGGAAGGAACCTAGAGATAGGAGCTGATGCAGAGGCCATGGAGGGGTGTTGCTTATTGGCTTGCTCCTCACGACTTGTTCAGCCTGTTTTCTTATAGAATTCAGAACCATCAGCCCAGGGATGGCCCCACCCACAATGGTCTGGACCCTCCCCAATTAATCTCTAATTAAGAAAATGCCCTGCAGGCTTGCCTACAGCCCAATCTTATGGAGGCAATTTTTCAATTGAGGCTCTCTCTTCTGTGATGACTTTAACTTGTGTCAAGGTGACTTAAGACCAGGCAGCTCATTCCCTCCCTTCCTTCCTTCCTTCCTTCCTTCCTTCCTTCCTTTTCTTGTGGAGACAGTATCTGGTTATGTAGCACTGGAACTTACTATGTAGATAATGCTGGCCTTGAAGTCACAGAGATCCTCCTCCATCTGCCTCCTTCCCTGCGTGACTACAGGTGTATGCTTCTTTAAAGGTAGCTGATGTGCAAACATCCGGCCCTGAGAGAACTAACTGCCATCTGCGCTCCCTCCCTCCCTCCCTCCCTCTCCCTCTCCTCCAGGGGATCGGAACACAGAGAAGGAGGAAGGCAATGAGATGGTGCACGAGGTGGACGTGATCATAAAGCACAACAAGTTCGTGAGGGAGACCTATGACTTCGACATCGCAGTGCTCAAGCTGAAAACTCCCATCACGTTCCGCATGAACGTGGCCCCCGCCTGCCTGCCTCAGAAGGACTGGGCTGAGGCCACACTGATGACGCAGAAGTCGGGCATTGTGAGTGGGTTTGGACGCACACATGAGAAGGGCCGCCAGTCAAACATCTTGAAGATGCTGGAGGTGCCCTATGTGGATCGCAACACCTGCAAGCTCTCCAGCAGCTTCACCATCACACAGAACATGTTCTGTGCTGGCTACGATGCCAAACTGGAGGATGCCTGCCAGGGGGACAGCGGCGGCCCCCATGTCACCGAGTACAAAGGCACCCACTTCGTGACTGGCATTGTCAGCTGGGGAGAAGGGTGTGCGAGGAAAGGGAAGTACGGGATCTACACGAAGGTCACGGCCTTCCTCAGGTGGATCGAGAAGTCCATGAAAGCCAGGGTGGTTCCCACATCTGAGACCCCAACGTCAACAAGCCCTCCCCATTAAAGCAGCTCTCTAGACCTGCTGGGTCACATATGCGTTGTTTAATGTTGCCACCTGAGCAGGAAGCTTCTTAGGGCAGATGCCCCCTTACAGGGGTAGACTCTTCAGGTTCAAGTTTGCTGTTCTTTCAACTTCATGGTATCAGAAACAGACTCTGATTGAGCAAAGATTTCTCTCTTCCTAAGTCAGACTGCTGGACTCTCAGGGAGTCACGGGCTCTAGGGGATTAGGCCACTGCTCACACTTAGATAGATCCATCTCTTCTCACACTTGGATGGAGCCTATCCCTGCTCACACTTGGATAAAGCCATCCCTGCTCACATTGCGATGGAGCTGTGTCTTCTCCCCATCATAGGATATGATTCTGATTTTGAGTGGTCAAACTGACCCGCTCAACTGACTGTGCTTAACTTCCTTGAGAATAAATGCGCACACACACGCATGTGCACACACGCATGCAAGCACACACATACAGTGGGACAGACTTCAGCTCCCCAGTAGATGCTTTAGGTCAGGGGGCTCAGACTCTGATTTGCCCTTGCATGGCCAGAGAACTCTCACTCTCTCTGGGAACTAGGCTGCATAGAATTGAAAGGAGAGAATCCCCGGAAGATAGGCTAAGATCTTTGTCTAAAGATAAAGGGACCTTCGACCCAGATCTGAGTCAAGCACCAACCCTATGCTGGGCTTCCTGTGAGTGTGTACAGGAGTCTTTCTGAACTATGCTGTCTGCTGAGTGTACATGGACTCTGTGCTGAGCTGAGCAGTGAATGTGCGTGCAGTCTCCCTGAGCTGGGCCATGTGCTAAGCGTGCTCGTGTCTTCCTGAATGAGACTGAGGGATAAGTGTGCACAGGAGTCTCCCAAGATGGTTGCCTGGTGAGGGTGTATGGAGTTTCCCCGAGCTAAACTTGGTGTTGAATGTGCATGGGCTTCTTCCTGAGCAAGTGCTAATAGTGATCTGACGCCCAAACACATGGGTCTTAGCCCTGCTCTAGTTAGGAGACTCCAGAGGGGTCTTTGCAAAGCCTAAATCCTGGCCTTACCCCAAACATTAAATTCTAAGTCTCTAGGATGAGCCTCACCCCAGAAGTTTCTGCATCTCTTCCAGACACTGTCACGCCACCAAAGCAGGTGTTCAGTGACATGACGTGGCTGGACAGGGTCCAGGGCATGTCTCACCCCCGCCCCCAGTCTTGTATTGTCTCCAAGCCCCAAGTTAAATGTTTGTGGGAACCAAGCCTACTTTCAGTAAATAGACTAACGTTTTTTTTCCGAGATTTTTCCTATAGTTTGCACTTTGCGTAACTTTCCCAAGCAAAGTTTAAAGGTTCCGGTACAAACCTTCCCCCAGACCAAGAGCTGGATAGAGTCCTTTGTAAACAGATTTTGCAAGGTTAGGGAAAGTCAAGAACATTGCTTGATTTCCTAGAATCATAGTAGCCAAGAGTGAGGCTGGGGTCTGAGAACCGAGCTGAGCCGTGCAGACACCGCTGGATCAGTGACCTACTACATATCATGGCCCACTGGCCTGGCATGCAGGTCAGCAGTGGGAAGACCACGGTTTCACTCACCTGGCAGATGGACTTTGTGTTTGTCCCTAAGAACGAGAACTCCCTGGTCTCCAACCACCAACCCAGGACAAAGTCAGCACCCACACAGGTCCCTGTACCAACAGAAAGACAAGTGCAAGAGTGTGTGGGTGTGGGGTCAGCCATGGGGAAGCTGAGCAGACATTAAAAAGTGAGTTTACTCAAGAGCACCTCATGTTACACATAGTTCACCACTAGAACAGCTAAGAGAATCTTCAATAATTTCAAAGCAAACAGAAAAGCCAGTACCCAGATCCTGAGTCAGGGGCCAGGAAGGTGAGCCCCAGATCTAGTGAGGTATCTCCCTTTATGGATCTGAGAATCAGGACCTAGGCTTCCTGTGGTACTGGCAGTGTGGGCACAGATTCCCTGGGGTGTGATGGGACTCCAGGTTCCTTGTGGTACTGGTAATGAGGGCACAGGCTCCCCAGGGTGCAGTGGGGACCCAGGTTCCCTGTGGTGCTGGCAATGTGGGCACATGCTCCCTGGGGTGCTGTGGGGACCCAGGTTCCCTGTGGTACTGGCAGTGTGGGCACAGGCTCCCTGGGGTGCTGTGGGGACCCAGGTACCCTGTGGTCCTGGCGATGAGGGTGCTGGTTCCCAGAGCAGTGATAGTGGCTTCTAGACTGAGTGCAGAAAAGAGTAGCATCCTCACGTGGTTCTGCTCCAGCGGAACTCTCCTGGACCCAGAAACAAGACCTAGAAAATAACAGGAGAAAATATTTTCCTTCCTGATGGTGGCTTTCGCGGAGGCCACACCCCTCAGTGCTGAGGACCCTGAGCCCCAGATGTCTTCCGTGTTTTTTTCCTCTCCTGGATGGAATGGAGAAGCTGATCCTGGGGTAGACATGCTGTTTACCAGCCCTCAGATCAGCACTGGGAGGAACCCGTGCCTAGGGAATGGGTGAGTTGGGAAGTCAGAAATAAAGCTGGGCTCAGCACCCCGGCTCTAGGTAAGTGGGCAACATCCTCTGGGAATTGCTCCCCCTGTCTGGACCCCAAATTTATCCAAAGAATTCATTTAAAGTGGTCCTAGGTGGCAGGGGACAGAATAAAGGACAAAGTCCTTCAGAAAAAAAAAATGTGGTACCATCCAGGTGACATTAGTACACATTGACAGAAAAATCTGAGCCAGAGATGCTGAACCTGAACGTTTAGAGGTGTTGATGGCAGTTGTTGGTGTCAGCCTGACAACAGCAGGAATTAACTAAAACTCAAGTGACTGGTACACTTGGGAGGGATTTTTTTTTTCTTGGCTGAATCATTTTAAGTGGGAAGAACCACACTAAATCTGGATTTTTTTTTTTTTGAGGTGGGATGATCCACCTTTAACCTGGGCCACACCTTCTGCTGGCATCCTGTATGAAGGACATGCCTGCTTGCCGTCACTCTGGCTGACAAGTCAATTACTTCATTGGCATCAGAACCTGCTTCCTTAGGATTCCAGTGTGTATTGAAGACCTGCTGAGACATCCAGCCTTGTGGGCTGAACAACTCCTGGATTCTCGCATTTTCTGTTGGTAGACAGCCATTGTTGGACTAAGAAGGACCCAGCCAGTAAGCTACTCCAAAAAACTCCACATATATGTGGAACCCTGAATAATAATACAGGCTGCTGAGACATGGTGGGTGATTCAGTGACTAGTTAGAGACATCTGATGTCTCAGTTCTCAGATACCCAGATCATCTGAAGGTATGATACATGTTCAATTCTTGTCAAGAGATTCAGCTAAAGAAAATTCCGTGCCTGTGGCAGAGAAGGGACCACTAGGACCCTGGAAGAGAATTCTGTTCAAATAAACAGACCTGGAGTAAACCCCAGAGCTAGAGAAGGCCTTGACCTCTAGGCAGAGGGAAGGGAGGACTGCAGAGCTCACACTGGGGATCAGGAGGGCAGCAAGAGCTGGGTTTTAGCATTCTCACAATGTATTCTTTCATGGAGACGGACTGTGAGGATACTCAGATTCCCACATACCACGCTACTGTCTCTGCTCTTATCCAGGGGATTATGTCCTCAAGGGTCACACGCTGACATCAGTTCCCAGTGTACCCATGTGAGGTGGGACCTCTGAGAGGCCATTGGGCAGTGTCCTCAGGATGTCAGCTACTGTTCTGTTTCTCCCCTCTACTGCATGGTGAGGCAGCTAGTGACTGTCTGTGAAGCCCTGGCCACGAGATTCTGACCCTAGCTAGTCTCAGAGATGCAAGCAGTGCTCTCCCGCTGACCACTGCCCACTCTGTAGCTCTTGTTCTCGCAGCCCTGTGGACTGAGCTGGTCAAGAAGGAGTTCATTCACACACCATGCTCCTAGGGCAGGCCAGCTCTGGAGCCCATAAACTGTCTTTGCCTGATTGATGGAAGCTTTGTCTGGTTCACTATTTTTTTAAATTAAAATGTAATTACACCATTTCCCCCTCCATCTCTTCCCTCTGGTCCTTCCCATGCTCACCCATGATCTTTCTCAAGTTCATAAGCAACCTCTAATTGTTCATTGTTGGAGATGCATGATAGACACACACACTTTGTACATCCTAAGCTGAATCCATACTTTCTGTCTTTTTAAAAATTGAAAGTAGATTTTTTTTCATACACTCTATTTTGATCACAGTTTCCCCTCCCCCAACTCCTCCCCACCTCACCACCCACCCAAATCCACAAGAAACTAAAGCAAATAAACCAAAAAAAAATCCAATAAGATAAAACAAACTTTTAAAAAGCCAAATAAAAAGCACAAGAAAAGCATAGAGATGAGGATGAGGAGACACACACCTGCACACAAGGAAATCCCATAAAAACGCACCATCTGAAACCATGATATATAATTCTTCTAACTTTTAAAAAACAACTTTACAATGTATGTACTAGTTAAGCTGCTGCCTACTCTGTTGTCTTCCCTTTCTGCTTTAGTGAACTGTGTTTATAGGTGTCACTGGATTTTGTTCCTGTATCATTCAGAAGATATAGGCCCCAGTCCCACTCACTGCCCTAACCCATCCGCTCACGATGCTTTCATCCTCCCCTCCTACTCCTTGCGACTCTGGCTCTCAGGTGACACCATGTGCCCTCACCTACGCCTCTCAGCTGCCCTGATTACCTGCCCATCTTCATCCCTAGCACTCTCTCCTTCCCTTCTCTGTCAATTCTCTGTGCCCCTCCTTTGCACGACTACACAATCCTTATGGTGGCATCCTTCCTACTCACGGCTATGTCCAGACCCAGGATGGCCCTTTGCAGGGAACGAAGGCCACCTGCACTGAGACCCCTCCACTTTCCCCTCCATGTCTACCTCAGTGGGCTAAAGCAAATGCAGGAAAGGACCATAATGAGAGTCATTTCCTACTCTCCACCAACATCTAGGTCCATCAGTCATCCAATCTAGCCCTGTATGTGTTCAAAGGCACGGGTCAACCACAGTGCCTCCTGGAGCTCTGGACTTTGACTGTTTGCAGACTTTGCCCTGCCTGGGCCAGCCGGGCTCTGGGTCAGCATGGCTGGCTGTGTCTCGCTGCTCTGGGGCCTCATTCTCGCCTTCCTCCTTACCCTTGTCCTGCACCAGGTGGAGCTTTCAGGTAGGCGCTTGCTGTCTCATTCTTTCAAGAAACATTTTCTTTAAGCTGGGGTCTCATTCTATAGCCCAAGCTGGTCTGAAACTCACAATGTAGTTCAGGCTAGCTTCAGCTCTTGGCAATCCTCCTGCCTCAGTCTCCCAAGCGCTAGGACTACAGGAATGAACCACCAGATCTAACCGTCTCATCCTTGGTCTGGCCCCAAAGGTTCTGTAGATGATACTGTCTTTACGGGTCCTAAAGAACAAGCCACTCCCTCCTGAAAGTCAGTATGGATCTCATTGCCCTGCGGTAAGAGCTGTTGAAGGTGACAGGGACCTATTGGGCAAGGACAGCCTAAGTCATGCAGGCCAAGACAAGGCTGGGCACCCCTTAGCCAAAACTGGGTTGCAGCTTGACCATCTAGATGTCGGGGTGTTCTTGTTCTGTGCTGAAGGACTGCCAGGAACAGCTAGCTAGCCTAAGCCTTGATCTGCGTTGCTCTTTCCACCCTGGAGCATCTAAGCCTTTCATCCCAGCCTCTGTGAGTATCTTCTGGGTCCTCTGTCTGTCTATGTCCTCCTTTCCCCCGCATCTGACTGCAGTCCATGGCTCCTCAGCTCAGGCGTGGTTCCAGGCCACTAGCCTTTACTCTCTCTGACTTCTGCACCCCCTCCTTCCACACCTAACAGTCCTCGTCACCAGCCTCTTCATGTTTGCTCAATACCAACTCCTGTGAGGGTGGCGCCCACACGGGCAAATCCTGCCTGCTGGCTCTCAGCACTGGCCTGAGCCCCAAAGCAGGACCAAAGTTCTCAAAAAAATTCCTGACTGTCGTCAGGTTGAGCCTGCTGAGTTTTGTGATCCAAATGTGCCACAATGGGGTCCATTTTAGCCAAATGAGGCTTCTTGACACCTTACATACTGGTGTGGGAAAAAAAAATAACCAGACAGCTTGCATGCTTGCCCTCGTCCTGTAGACAGCTCATATTCTTGCCCTCGTCCTGTAAACAGGAGCTGTGAGCTGAGTGCTCCTGGTGAGCAGGGCTGTGTCCCTAAGCCCTGTGGTGGCATCACTGTCCCTGGGGTGGACACAGCCATCCTGCCACCTTAACACCAAACTGTGTGTATCTCAGGGATCTCCGAGGAAACTGTCCTCTCATCTGACCACTTCCCAAGGCGTCCAAGGTGCTTGGTGGTGCTCAGAACCCAGTACTGTCCTGTGATTGCACAGGAAGGAAAACTATGTAGGTCTAAGCGCTGTTTGAGTGAGCTCACCTGAGCACCCCCTCCCTCATGCTGTCTGTCTCCGTCGCCTGCTCAGGACTCCTTCCTGCCATGGAGAAGTTGCTCAGTAATCCTGGCATCCCTGTATTTAATAGGACACTCTCTGACGTGTCTGTCCACATGTGTTGCATTTTTGCAACATACCAGGATAGATCATGGCGAAGCAAATGGTGATAGGCCTGTCCCGTGTCCTCCTGCTTCTGCTTGGACGCTCACCTGTTGCTGCTGATTGAGCATAGCCTCTCTGGGCCTGGATGCTCCGCCCACAAAATGCCAGTGTGTCTGCCTAACTCACCCAACAAGAAGAAAGTACATGTCCATCATAGGACTAACCCTGAGGACCGGCACAGCCCAGGCCCTGTGAACAGTGGCAAATCACAGGCGCCGACTGAGGCACCTTGTGAGACGGGGCTCCCGCTCACTTTGCGCATCCCTCTGCAGTGTTTCTTCCAGCCTCGGAGGCAAACAAAGTTCTGGTGAGATGGAGACGGTCTGGTTCTTATCTTCTGGAAGAACTCTTCGAGGGCAACTTGGAAAAGGAATGCTATGAGGAAATCTGCAATTATGAGGAAGCGAGAGAAGTATTTGAAGACAACATTAACACTGTACGTGAGCCCTGTAAACCCTGAAAATGACATCACCACTGTACGTGAGCCCCATGAGCCCCCAGGTGCACGCGCGTGCTAACTGTTCAGGCCCAACTGTATCAGAAAGCAGATTTAACTAGCCCATTTCCTTATGGTGAGGTTGGTATGAGCCTGACTTCACAGACGAGAAGTCAGACTTAGAGGTGGGAACAAACTGACGTCAGCAGCAGGTGGGGATCACACTCTAGACTCCTCCTAGTTGGGCTACCTAGCTGGGGAGACCTGCCCATCACACCACAACCAAATCACCAAGCTCCACTGTTTGCACATGTTGGGAAAATCTGGGAGAGAGGGAGAGAGAAATAGAGAAAGAGGCACACACATGCATGCCCGTGCATACACGCTGTAAGAAAATTTCCCGTGATCCCTACTCTGGATTAGGTAAATCCTTTTCTTACAGCTGTATACACTCTAACAATCAGGTGAGCATTTGGCATGTTTATCAGAAGGCAGGAAGAGGGAGCCAAAACTTAAGGGGCAGTGGCTATTTTCGTGCGGGAGGGGCAGAGCGATGGTGACGTCATCCACACAGCATTAGGAAATTCGAGTATGGTTTGGGGACACCCCACAAACAGCTCATTTGGGTATCCCACTCCAGCCTCCCCCACGAACATTTACAATTATAACAGTGTACTTCTAAAAGAAAAAAATGGGGATTTCAGACCATCGCCAGGCACCTCTGTAGAGTGAGGTGGAGAGCAGCCGGGAAGGAGCGCTGTAGCTTTGGGCCCTCACACACAACCTCCTCCCTCCCCAGGAGACACGGTAAGTGACCTGGTGCAGAATATGCCATTCCTGTTCAGTGTGAACAGGCTGTAAAATCATGCACAGAAATTCCACATCCTCCGAATGACTGAGTACAGCCCATGTTTTCTTAGCCCTGAGTCCATCCATGGGAGACTGAATACAGAAATTAACACTCTTACCTTTTGCCTTGGCAGGAAAGATTCTGGAAACAGTACTGGGGTAAGTGTTTTCTCAGCTCTCTGGCCTGGTCGAGACTCAGGACAGTCTTTACTGGGGCCCATGGATTCACGTTCTAACCCTCCTGTGTCCTGGTGTCTGCCCAGGGAGGGGATTCGTCCTAAGGATCCCACTAGCAGGACCACAAGAAGGCGTCTGGTTTCATTGTGCTGATGTCTGGGTGTTCCTAGGCAGCTGGGGCTCAGGCAAAAGACAGGAGCCCTCCCCCACCTCACAACTCATCCTACTCCTGGGAAGGGGCATGCTGTAGGCCAGGAGATGGATCAGATTTGAGAGAACTGTGGCCATTACCCAGATGTTTGTCTTGGGGTCTGCTGTGTAGGCTATCCTCAGGAGGAGCACAGGGTGGGTGTCGGCAGAAAGAGATGTACAAGTGAAGACCACGTGGCGGGTGGGAGCAAGGACACACTTCGAAATGAGTAGAAGGTCCTGGGGTGCATGATAGTGATGGTGAGAACTTGGGGGTCGGGGGCACATGGCACCCAGTGGACAGCAAGCACCTGGAACTTGGCCTCCTCTTCTCTAGTACAGCAAGCTTAGGATGGGCCTGGCTCAAGGAATCCACAACGCAGTCTCAGAGGCCCTTCTGCTTCCGTAGGTGGTTCTCCATGTATCTCCCAGCCCTGCCTCAACAACGGGACATGCAAGGACCACATCCGCAATTATAGCTGCACGTGTTCCCCTGGCTACGAGGGCAGGAACTGCGCAATGGGTAAGAGGCACCGTCCACAGCCAGTCCATGCTGGGGTTGCTGAGAGACAGAGCAGCTTGCTCATGCAGAAAAGTGTAGGGGCATTACGTTTGTAGCTCAATAAATAAAGCTTACCTGAAGATCAGGGAGTAAAACAGCCTCACTGGTCAGCTTTATAGATCGGGCAGTGGTAACACACACCTTTAGTCCCAGTAGTCACACTAGTTGCCATAGAAACCGGGTGGTGCATGCCTTAAATCCAGTGGTGCATGTCTAATCCCAGAACTAGAGAGGATTATAAAATGGGAGGAGACAGATCTCAGTCTCATTCTGAGATTCCTGGAGGCAGGATCGTTATTTTGGACTGAAGTAGAGGTAAGAACCAATGGCTGGCTGTTCGGCTTTTTGGACCTTCAGGTTGAACCCCAATTTCTCTCTCTCTGAGTTCTTAGTAATTGTGCTTCAGAGAAGGGTGCCCTGGGAACCTTGATACACTCATCCCAGGGAAGTCTTTGGCTCCCCTCTTCTACCCCACCCTAGAATCATGCCACAGGTGCTGGCTGCATTCTGTGACCCACTACCCGGCCCCTTGCCCTCTTGAAATTTTCATAGCATAGTGTCTCCTTTTTCTCCCCTTTCCCAACCATCCACCTCCCAATCCATAATCTGCACACAAGTTGGAAGAGGTGCACACAGGTGTGTCTGACTGACATACCAGTCGGGGATACTCTAGAGAGAGAAAAGGCAAAGCTTCAAAAGTAAATAGGCCCCCTCCCCCTTTTCACCCATAGGATTTGAACGTAGGGTCTCAATATATTCCCCAGACTCTCCTTGAACTTGCTAAGCATGGGGCAAGAGAGGTAGCTCAGAGGTTAAGAGAATGGGCTGCTCTTCCAGGTTTGATTCAGCATCCACAGGGCAGTTCACAACCTTCTATAACTCCAGTCCCAGGGGGATCTAGCACCCCCTCTGGCCTCTGTGGGCACTGCACTCATATGGTACACAGACAGGGGCAAAACACCCCTCTACATAAAAAATAAAAAAAAAAATAAAGGAACTTGCTGTACAATCCAGACAGGCCTTGACCTTACGATCCTCCCAACTCAGACTTCAGAGTAGCTATGATAGGCAGACCTGTACCACCAGAACTCACTAAGAATAGTCCTTAAATACCCATGCAAATGACCTCATAGGGCCAAGGGGATGAATTCCTGGTAATTGTCAACTACAGAAACAAACGCATGTACCTTTTTCTGTGTCTCTGCCGCCCAGAACCAGCTCTCTGCGAGAAAAGTTTCTTTAGCCCAGATCTTTGCTCTCAGCTCCAGATTCCCACACTCCATCACCTCCCTGGCAATGCTTTCTGGTGTCCCACTTAAACTGTTCGGCCACCAACACTGGGCCCTGACCCCCTCTTTGTCCCATTTCTGCTCTTTGAAGGAACAATCCAAAGACAGCAGCTTTTGCAGTGGGAAAGGAAGAAGCTAGGGACATATATACGATACTAGTAAGATGTCCAGGTAACTCCTCCTGAGGCCAAACATCTCACTGCGTCTCCATGGACATACCCGGGACACTTGAGTGTGGGAAGCTTCACATGAAAACTGGCAAGCTAGGATGGGGAATGTGGACACAGCTCCAAGCTTATATTTTCTTTATACGTGTAACATACAAGCAACACTAGGACTGGAAAGCCAGACCCATGCACAAGACAATGGTGTTAGCTGTTCCCCATTGGCATGGCTGGTTTTAGCTTTTTCTTCCTTCTCAGCTACAAACGAATGTCACCTAGAGAGGACGGATGGGTGCCAGCATTTCTGCCATCCAGGGGAGTCATCCTACCTGTGCAGCTGTGCGAAGGGCTACAAGCTGGGCAAGGACCACAAGTCATGCAGTCCCAACGGTGAGTTCTCCCGGAGGTAGGCCGTCCTGCCTCCATGCCCCTTTCCTTCTGCCACCATGCTTACAGGGTGGAGTGTTGTTGTTCATGGGATGTAATTGCTGACTCGGGGTTCTGGCCTCCACATTAGAGTAACCCCAATGTCGGAAATGCTTTGTGTCAGGAGGCCCATTACCCTATTATCCAAACTGCCCCCCAAAAAAGCCTGGGTGCAGGCAGTTCAACTTCACCTTGCTCCCCATGACCACCAATGACCTCAAGTCTACCAGCATTCAGATGAGACTCCGGCTAGCACCATTGTAGACCCCACATCCGCTTGGAAACCACTGATTTTCTTCTCATGTTGCCACCACGGATGAAGACAAGTGTGCCTGCGGGACCCTGACTTCCGAAGACATCAGAGACTACCAAAGTCCGCCTGGCTTCCCGTGGCAGGTAACAGCTTTGGTAACAGCTTCTGTTTTGTTACAAATTTCATCCGTTATTTCCATGTTTTTGCCAAAAACGGATGACCCTGGAGGCCAGTCTTTCAGTTGTGCCTGTTTCCCTTGTTCCAGGGGGAGGGAAAATCTGATAGCCATTACTCGTCCTTGGCCAAGAGGGGCCACTGTATCTTCCTGAGGTGACAGAGTGCTGGTAGCTGTGGAAGAGGCAGTGGGGTGTGGACACTGACTGTCCCTGGTGCCCAGACGGCCACTCAGATTTACTGTTCCCTATCTGACACTGGCTAACAGTCATTTTCTTTTTTTAAGGTCAAGTTAACAGACTCCAAAGGAATGGACTTCTGTGCCGGTGTTTTAATACAGGAAGACTTTGTGCTGACAACA